GGGGGTCCCTGCCTTCATTAGCAAACACCTGTCTTTCAATCCAAGACAGCCACCACTGCTCATGAGAGACTCTGAGGTTCAGGTTGACTCCTACCTGCCTGCAGGGAACGGGGACAGAAATGGGACTGCCCATCATAGAGCCCAAGAGCGTCTGAAGGCTTATGTTGGGAGCTGYATGGATACCTTATCTCACGCAGATCAGAGCAGGACCTCACCTCTAGCTTGCAGTTGTGTCCTGKTGACATGGGAGCTCTCCACATGCCTTTCTCTTCAATGCCTAATGGCTTCTCACTTTGTAGTATTGGAAAACAGAAACCTGTTGGTGTGTCCAAAGTGGACTAAGGAAGGAGTAACCAGGTAAGCCTGGCAGACAGCACACGGTGTATCTGGATCTCTGAGTTTTGGGTGCCTCCAGCAGCTTCTTGATGCAAATCACACCTTGTACAGGGATCACTGGGAGAAGCATCATCAGAGGGCAGCTCCCCAGCCTGGCTTGCTAACGCCGGCAGATGGCACTGAGGGAGTATCTGAGAAAATTAATGGGAGCTTTGGGGATCTGGGGCCAAAAAAACCCCTCTCCACAGTGTTGGTGCTTTGCCTTTTACTTATCTTGAGCTGCCCCTTCATCAAAGATAAATTACTGCTGCCCCTTCATCAAAGAAAAAGCAGGTTTTTTCTGAGGAAGTGATGGAGGATACGCTCAAGGTTGTAGACAATTGCAAAATAAGGAGCCCAGTCCATAGGCTTGCTGGACAAATATGTGTTGGCTGTCACAGCTTCAAGGGTAATAAATTATACAGGAAAATATGCTGAATAACTATATGTAGAGTAAATACTATCTTATTTTCAGGGAGTCACATTACAGGAGCATTCCTAGGGTGACCAAAATACATTCAAAAGTTAGGTGAAACCATAGTAGAGTTAAACCCCTGTCAGCTTATGTCAATCTCCCAATGCAGAGATAATTGCAGCACGGGCTTCYAAGGACATGATCACACCTGTTATTTTTATTTTAGCTGCCAGGTTAAGSCCCCAGGGTTGTGAATGAAAACAGGACTAGTCCTCTCCAATATATACCATGATACAGGTTTGGCCATTCATTTAAGCTTTCTTTTTTTCAGAAAAGAACAAGATGACAGAAGTGACACTGAAAAGAGTGACAGGAGCGAAGCAGAGGATCTAGCAAAAAGCAAAGAATAACACAGAGCTTGCTGCAAAACACCAGGATCCAGGATGTCTTTGGAATGTGAGAAGGCTGAACAAGAGCTGGGGGAGAGRCTGGACAGGACTTCACTGCAGTCTTGCCTGGTGGAGGTGAATTTCATCACATCTATAGGCAGTTAAGTCACTTCAGGAGATGTTTTCTATAATTCTTCCGTTAGGATTATTCTTTTACTACTGCCCTGTAATTATTCATCGGGGAAAGAGTCTACCAGCGACAGTGCCACTGTATTGGAATAGGGGTTGAACAAGCTACTGAAGTTATGACAGCTCTCTGTGATTATCTCAAAGCCTTCCTGAAAGGTTCATGAGATAATAAACTACAACCGTGGAAAATTGAACCAATTTGCAATTTCAGAAGACAGACATTTCAGCAGCAGTCATTGCCAGCCACCTCATGAAAGGATGTGAATGTGAAAGGCAATGGCTTAAATGGAAAATAAGTTTTCACTTGGGTAGTATTAAATGATCAGGCTCTGCGATAAACCATTGCAACTAAGGCCTGGCCAAATGATACAAGCTATATTTACTGTATGAATTCTACAAGATAACTCCAATGTCGGAAAGATTTTGCTTACTGAATGTCTACTTAGGGAAAAGTCCCCTAAAATGAAAAGGAATTGAGACTCTTCCAAATGCACACTTTTCCACCAGAAATTATACATAATAAATGGAAATGTTCCATATGGATGTATTATTTTGTTAAGATTTCATTCAGATATTTTGTTGAAATTTTCAAAATTGAAAAATAGAAGTGTTACAATGTCGGCATTTTAATGGGATGGTTTATGGTTTGGACAATGCTTCGCCTTGTAATTTCTTGCAAAAGATCTAATTTTCAGAATTTATAGTGTAACAAAAAATGTTAAGTAAATGTAAAAAATTACACATAAACAAAAAAGTCTGTTTTATGTACCTTTTGCATTAAATCTTTTTAGAATATCAGATCCTATGCTGTTAGGAAAATCTTATTTGAAACTTGCTGGCAGTCTGACATCACATAACTCACAGGTTGAACCTGCTTTCTGCTGAAGGATTCTGGAATTCACTCTGCAGGCTGTAATGCTGGAAGGCAGGCAGCCACCCTTTCTCTGTGGAGCACCAGCCTTGAGCAGGATGTCACTCCACCCCTACACGTTGGTGGGGTACAAGAGCCTTCATTGGGATCCCTGGGGTAGGGTTTGCCCAGGAATTATTGTACCTTGTCCGTTCAAGTAAGATGCTTTCTTTTTAAAGCCCCAAATGATGCACGAGAATGTCCACATGTAAAGGATTCATACAGCCTCCAGGGCATGGCTGGCCCCTGGACCTGAGAGCTCATTTCTGTTTCACCCGTGGGGCAGTCACCCTCTCAGCCACTCACCCTTGGGAGGCCTGAATGTCCTTGCATATCAATTCCCTACCACCCTAAATCCATAGTTCTGCCCAGGAAATGCTCTTCCTCATAGACAGTCTTTAATTAGGGCTAGGTGCAGGCTCTGCTCCTTGGACTTTCATTTCAGTGCTTGGGGATGGACATTTTTATTTTGAGTCTCAGCAGCCATGAACCCAAAGAGCACTAAGGACACTGAAGCCAAATTCTTAAGATTCAGTGTGCAAAGGTTTGTGATCACATTCCTGGATGCATAAATTCAGAATAGTCTCCCTCCTTTTGTGTTGCTTTCCAGCCTGGGATGAAGGTAATTTTAGCCATAATTATATAACCCATGAAATTTTCTTATTTCTGGCTTAAATTATACTAATATTGGGTATGGTGTGACAGCAATTGCTGTTTGGGGATGTTTTTGCTTTGTCCTACAGCAGTACTGGCTTATAATCCTGCTGAAGGGTCCTTTGACACACATTTGATTTGTTATTTAAATCCCATTACATTTTCTAACACTGATGCAGTGTTAGAAAGAAGAAGATTTTCTTCTTTCTTTCAGCTATTTAAAAGATAGAGAGCCACAGAGGTTAAAGGTCAGAACAGACCTTTATTGAGCATCAACCCTAAGGAGTTTATGTACCATAACAATATTGATCGCCAATTTCAATAATGAAATACAGCCTTTGTGAAGACAAAGTTTTCACTGGCTTTGGCTTCAAGTTCATTTGTCAAGTAGAAAAAAAAATAAAAAGGTAAAATTACAAAGGAACAAAATTTTAAAAATGTCACAGGCCAAACTTGATGCAATCTAACTCCCTTCAGTTGTAAAGCACTTCACTCTCATGCCCACGTATCGAATCTTCGCACAGAGACACAGCCACGAATAGGAAGGGGGCAAGGGAGTTTGTTATCTATGACCTGGCACATATCAATGTAGGGATCAAAGAGGACTACAGTGGGGAGGGCACTGTTTCCCTTCCTCTGTCCAAGGAGATAAATTTGTCCATTCACGGTGCTGCATCCCATGAAGAACTTCTTGGTCAAGCATTCTTCATTCACCTGGGTCCATTCATCRGTCTCCACATCAAATCGAAAAGCTCCCCCTCCAATCGTGTACAGAGCCCCATTCAGGGATGTGATGCAGAGGTCATACCTGAGAAGGAAGAAACTCTTGATCAGAATCAACAGAAAGATTTGGCCCCTGAAATATTCAGTGTGACCTCGGTTGGCAAATCAGAAGTCCCATTTAAACAGAGATTCACAGAGGTGTTGTGGGGACTTCTGGATTTCTACAGTCTAAACTCTTCTTGGAGCAGAATCTTTCACCTTCTGCCAGGTCCCGGAAAACGATTTCTTACCTTGGAAGTGGAGAGAATGAGATGACATCCCAGCTATCTGTCTCTGTGTTCAGCCTCTGCACTCCATCATACACATGTCCATTCTCATCCAGACCACAGACCACATAGATCCATGTTCCCACACTGACAGCATCGCCTCTCTCCACAGGCTGAGCCATGGGTCTCATGCTTTCCCACTCTGATTCCATCAAAGCCATGCGTTCCACTGCTGGGATTATCCCTTCATCTGTGCTCCCTCCCAGAACRTACAGATAGAGCCCCACTCCCACTGCACAGTGGCTATTGCGGGATTTCTTCATGGCTGGCCCTTCCTGCCAGCTATTGTCCAAGCAATTGTAGATAAGCACCCAATCCACACTGTACCACACAAACTCATCCCGGAAATACCCTCCTGTCACAAAAAGGAAGCTCCCTGGAAAGACAGCAAAGAAAATATTAGTCATACRAAGGCTAAAAAATTGCTCCTGATGGCTGGGGTTATCATTTCTTCCTGGGCTGTACTGATAAGGTGCAAGATGAGCAGAGAAAATCACTGCTCTATCAATAAGTCTGCAGTATTTAATTCCACATCCACACAGATACATGGGACCTACAGTACGTAGCCAGTTTTTCCAAGCCTCTCTCATTTCTGAACAGAATCATGGAAACACTGGTTGGAAAGAGCCTCTGGGGATCTCACTTACAAATGCCTACCAGAAATGGGACTATCCCCCTCCAAACACCTACCAGAAATGGGACTATCCCCTTCCAAACACCTACCAGAAATGGCACTATCCCCTTCCAAACACCTACCAGAAATGGCACTATCCCCTTCCAAACACCTACCAGAAATGGGACTATCACCAACACTAATACAGGAAGCCATGGTATTGAGCAGACTTGAAAGCCTCCAAGCATAGAGATTTCCTAAAATCCATGGATAACTTTAATGTAGTGGCAACTATAAGTCAGAAGTCACCTGTCATCTGTCTAAACCACTAAAAAAGAGAAGGCCAAAAATATACATTACTTAAAGCCAARTCTTTAGTCTAACTCCAGATAAAGCCAATGTAAGGAGCTCAACAGAATCCATAGTTTCTGCTATACGAGAAGAAACACTCAGTGTTGTCCAGCATTCTCCCAGGACTAAGGAAAACAAAATCATCTTTTGAACAAATATGAACACCAATATGAATGAGGTTTYAGCAATGCTGAGCACAACAGTTTTACAACAGCAGCTGGACTCCCTGCATTTGGGACTCTCAGTCTCAACTTCTGTTTGCACTTTCTCAGTCTCCCTTCTCTGTGAGTTACCTACTGCTGCCACTGCATACTGGGTGAGGTTCCTGCGTTGCAGTGGAGAACAAGCCTGCCAGCTCCCTGTTTTAGGTTGAAAGAGAAATAATTCTTGCTGCTCCTTGTCATGCTTTCCTCCCAGGACATATAAGGTGTCATAGCTCCGACCAGCATAAGGACACAGCTTCGGATTTTGCCAGCTGGGTGGAGGACAGCTGTCTAACTTCTTTATCAGTCTGGAAWAGGTATCTGTCTCTCCAGCACGCTTGCTGCGTTTCACCAAGATATCAAGGAACGACAAACTAAGAAAAGTGACCCTGACTTCGCCCACCAAATCCAGAAATTCTTCCTCTCTTGTTGCTGGGTCCTCCATTATCCAAATTGTAATACTGTCAAAAACCACATCTTCTCGTGAAACGAAGAGGTCATCACTTTTCAGGAGCTGCATCAGCATTTCCTTGGGTAGTGCCTTAAATTCTTCCTGGCTTATCACATCCCCCCAGTGAGTGAGAGCCACATTCATAGCAGACACATACAATTCTGTAAAGGCAAATTGCTGYGAGTAGATCATCAGGCCCAGGCAATTGGAAACATGCAGCTCTCTCTCCAGAAATTTCTCACACAACAGTTTCACCCTGTCAAACTGAAAAAAATCAGCTGTTTCCAGTAAGCTGGTCACATTTTCTTGACCTATGAACACTTGGGCTGTGCGAGTGAACTCAAGTAGTGCCTGAAAAGGCACTGCATCAATCCCTTTGAGCACWATGTGCTGCTCAGAGCTCTCTCTTGCTCCTCCGAAAAACATGGCTTYAAAATATCGACTGTGTACCGAAAGCACCCTACGGCTGACCTGGAAGAGTCTCTCTCCAACCTCAAGAATTGTGTCTGCAACCATTTCTGTCTGAGGTCCCAGCTCCYGTGGCTCTGGTGCAGGCTCCATGCTTGTTGACTGCCAGGCAGTTAAAATTAACTCAGTCTTATGCAGCCCTTACCCATGTGAGATCTCTGGAAACATTACCCCCGCTAGCTGGGATAAATATGAGATAAGCCAATCTTGTCCTAAAAATAGAATGTTTTCTACTCTCCTGCTTTGCTCTTCTGTCTTTCCTGCTGCTTTYTGAACAGCAATAGCAGAACAGCTGTATAATTAAAAAAATGTAGACTTAACTGCATCTACTTTTAACAGGTAAGGCCACAGCAAATTAGAGCAGGTGTTAGCCAAGCAAAGAGCCTGGCTAGAAAGAAAAAAGAGGAGAAACAACCAAAAGCTTCCTAAGCACTGAGTAAATACCAAGAAGTTGTGGAAAACATTGAACCCATTTGGAAAAAAGCAACCATTACCATATCTTTCATTAATTCAAGTTTAATCAAATACCAAAGTGTTACCATTTTTATTAATTATCCAGCTTTATACTTCAGCATGAGAGAAGAGGAAGGAGTCAGCTCCCATTCATACCCAGATGGCTTCACATGTTCAGTCATCCTCAATCCAAATGCACTAAATAAACAGATACAGGACAAGCAACTGCTCACTGATGCCACAGTGAATTTTTCCAAAGCTATTAAGTGATGAGATTTGCATAGTGACCTTGAAGTAGAGTCTCTTACCCAAAGAGCCCATACCAGCAAGACTCATTCTGGGTTCCTGGCAGACTTCAGCAAACACAAGCTGTGTCATTGCCTCACCACCCTCATCATAAAAACTTTCTTCCTTATTTCTAGTCTKGATCACCCCTCTTTTAGCTTCAACCATTACCCCTTGCACTATCACAGAAGGCCCTGATAAAATGTCTGTCTCCTGTCGTTTTCACATTTTCAGGTACTTGACTCCCAAGTATAACCCCAAAGTCTGGGCTACAGAAAAGGAGAGCCATGCAACTCACAATGGAGACCAAGCAACTGATCAACAGAGCAGGAAATATTGAAAACATGCCCCCCTCCAGAGTTTACACACTTGATCTGTGGCTTTAGACCTCGCACTGAGAGCCCAGAATCCATCCCAGAGCACCTCAGCAGTTCTGAGACTACACTTAGTGTGCAAAGATGACACCAGTAACATGCTACACTAACAGCAGCACTCTTTCTCCCACCTAAAGGACAGTTCAAGACTCTGCCCACAAATTCTGCTCCTCACGCTGTAAAGGATTCTTTTGAGCTGTGCAGTTGCACGAACAAGTTCTGTAGCATTAGAAACTAGATTGTGAGGAGCACAACTCTACAGACAGCTCTGYGAGCCCCCAGATTAAAATCCAGAAGCACCTAAGTTCACAGAGGCAATACATCACACAAGACACCTGGTCCCTCCTTTCAGAGCCTCCTGGAAAAGTCAGATTCACTGAACCAAAATTTGACTCTAAGCTCACACCCATTTCAGAGCAGACCCAGGAAAGGCCATGCATGGCAGAAAAGTGCTGTGGCCAAAATAATCAATACAAATCTGTACTTGACATGTGTTCTTGACCACCTCCAGGAACAAAACTGCTGCTGCCAGCAAAACAATTCACTCTGCCACAGCCTCCTCATAAAAGGTGCTCCATAAAGGGAAAGGCAGGTGGCAGAGGAGGTTACATCCAGGCTCCAGGCACACACCTCAACCAGGCAGTCTTTAAAATGCTCCAGAAGAAGGACCAGATGCTCTCAGGTCTCTCCCATCAATTCCCTGTCTGAGCTTCTGCTCAGGTCCCTTCTGATTTTGCAGTGTTTAGGCGTCCTGAACAAATTTTATTTGGATTTAYGGCTGAAGAACTGTAATGTCAGCTGTAGTGCTCTTTTACAGGCTAAAAAACCAGACATTTAGAAACAGATTAATTTGTCTTTATTCACTCAAAACTCCTCAAACCTTGTACTTTTTGCAGTATAAAAGAAATAAAAATGTTTACTTACAAATCAATTTATAGCCAGCAGAACCACAAGTAGATARCTACAGTATAAAAAAAATGCAGTATTTCCAGACACTGCCTACAACTGAACAAACATTAGGATTTTAAATATTCTTCCCCTAAAATTTCAAGTATCAAATAGATACCTCCATATGGTTCAAGTCACTCAACCAAGAATCCCACAAGTTAGACCAGTCCTTCTGYAGAAAWATGTGACCCTGCTGAAACACAGATCTTAGCCCACCACATCTGGACAAGCTGGAAATTACCYTCTTGGCTACAACTCTTGTAAAGTTGATGACACTATACAAGGAAGGTAATTTTCCTGCACAAAAGAGACTGAACTCAAGAGCAGGAARGCTATAACATAATGCTTCCCAGCTGAGTACTGGCATCTAAGAGGAAGAAAAACAGGTTCTGCTATATTTGGGATTTAGATTAATTACCATTAAATACATTTTAATGTTCTCAAAAATGGAAAGAATATTACCAATATTCAGGGCATTCTTAACTAATTTTATAACATTGTTTCAAAAACTCACAAGATCAAGAGGGTCTCAGATAATTTGTCACAATATGCTCTCTCCTGTCAGCTYTAAACAACATAGTTACTCATTTACTTGGGGGTGGAAGGAAAACAAGAACATACTTCTTACATTCCCCATCCTCTCACCATTTATGAAAGCCACAAAAATAACAGTTGCCTTTTCTCCTTACACTAACTAATACACATTCAAACTCCTTCTCCCACCCCCCAAAACCAAAARCTTCTTGTACCCTGATAGCTTTCTCCAATGACTTGCAACCCTGAGGTTTTCAGAGACAATCCAAAGAAAGCATTAGCCATCTTGCTGCTGAATGAAAGGGTTTGGAATAGCTTCCATTCCATCCTGTGGACAAATCAGAACCACAGAAGTCCCTCTGCAAACCACAAGTCCCAGCTGACGTGTGTCTTCTGTTAATTTGAATTGATCATCCGGATCTAAAAAGCAGAGATCCATGGTTAGAACAGGAAAACAAGAAAAAGAAACCAAATTCCATTAAYTTCAAAAGGCACAGACATGCATGTTTTTTCCTGGCATAACTGCATTGTTTTAATAGAACACATGGACTATACAAGTGATGCAGCAGTGACATCTGATRTTTTCCAGATCTTACTGACAATGAGCAACAAATAACTTTGCTTTGTATGCAACACAAAGCAGAACACATTTATTAAAGAATTCAAAGACCCTTTCATTCATCTAACCAWTAGCATACATGTGAGTGATTAAAAAAAGCTCTTGATCCCATTTCAAATGTCATTAGAGACAAATACCTGGGGATCAATGCAAACCAGAAAAAGACCCTGACTTCTAAATGCACCAGGGAAGAGAGCACCAGTCCATTCCCAGACCAGGCCAAACAGGGCTGGATTGGGACAACACAAATCAGCCAGTTCTATCTTCCATGAGATATCACTATATTCAATAAAAATGAACAACATGTTTTAAATCTCCCTTTTAAAGAGAAAATTCAAAGCTTCAGGTGTTTGCTTTTAAGCAGGTAAGAGAACACTCCTCAMAAGCATTGTCCTATCAAATGATACWTTTTGTTTCAGCGAYGAGAAAAAGACACACTGCTTTATTCAAGCTTYAGAGGACAAGAGCAGCTAATGAGATAACTGGAGGAGCWMAAGCAAGGACTACCAGGATATTCTATCAYAGGAAATGTGCTTAATCTAACTTCTGCWGTAGAATCACAGARTGGTTTGTATTGGAAAGRACCTTTAAAYRYCATCTAGTCCAGCCCCTCTGCAATGAGMGGCATCTTTAACCAGAATCGGCTGCTCAGAGTCCCAACTTCAAATGCTCTCAATGATGGGGCACCTCTCCAGGCAACTTGTCCCAGCGTTTTTATCACCCTCATTATAAACAAAAAAACCCTCTTYCTTGTATCTAAAYCAACACTACTTCAGTTTAAACCCATTACCACTTGCCCTGTCACAACAGGGCCTGCTGAAACATTCATCCTCTATCATTTCTTTTATGTCCCTCTAAAGTACTGACAGGCCACAATAACATCTCCCCAGATGGCTCTTCCCCAGCTCTCCTGTCCTATCTCCAGAGCAGATGGGCTTCATCCCTYGGAGCATCTCCATGGCCTCCTCTGGACTCTCTCCAGCAGCTCCAGGTACTGCTGATGTTGAACTCCAGGACTSTCCAGGTGGGTTCTCACCTGAGTAAGGCAGAGGAGCAGAATCYCCTCCCTGGGGATGAATCCCCCATCCCTGCTAGGGATGCAGCCCAGGATACAGCTGGCTTTGTGAGCTGCAAGCACATATTGTCCAGCCTCTCATCCACCAGCATGTCAAAGTCCTTCTCAGCAGGGCTGCTCTCCATCTGTGCATCCCTCAGCCTGGATGGATACCAGGGGCTGTCCCAAACCAGGAGCAGGACCTTGCACTTGCAGGACCTTGCACTTGCACTCATGAGGTTCCTGTGGGCCCACTTCACAAACTTGCCCAGGTCCCCCTGGCTGGTCCCATCCTTCAGGTGTGTCACCAGCAGACTGAGGGTAAACTTGATCCCCCTATGTCACTGATGGACACTAAACAGTACTGGTCCCCACAGAGATCCCTGAYGGACATCCCCTGCCACTGATGTTCACGAGGACATTAAGCCATTGACCACTACCCWCTGGATATGACCATCCAACCAGTTCCACATTCACCAAACAGCCCACCCTGTTCAATTGTTCAACAGTCCACCTCTTCAATTTAGGGAGAAGGATCTCTGTGGGGACAGTGTCAAAAGTTTTACAGAAGTACAGGTAAATGACATGTGTAAGCCCTTCCCCTTGTGCACTGATGGAGTCACTYCATCACAGAAGACCACTGGCTTSGTCAGGCAGGATTTTCCCYTGGTGAAGCCGTGGTGGATGTCTCAAATCACCTTTCTGTCCTCCAYAAGCCTTAGCAGAACTCCAAGAAGGATCTGTTCCATCATCTTCCCAGGCACACAGGTGAGGCTGAGAGGACAGTAGCTCCCAGGCTCCTTTCTACCCATTTGAAAAATGGGCTCAATGTTTCCCTTTCCCATCACCTGACTGCCATGACTTTTTGAATACTTTAGAGTAACTTGGGAACTACATSAGCCAATTCCCTCAGGACYCCTGAGGGCATGTCATCAGGTCCCAAAGACCAGTCATCTTATCTCTTTCTTTTTAACATAGTTATCCCAAGCATGCTGCAACTGGCATGATGGTAACCCAAAGTTTCATCTTATCCGCTCCCAGAGCTGTAGGATTTCKGTTAAGAAAACCCTTCAGGAAGGGGAAGCTTTCCACACATAACACTYACCTCGCATATACTCAATGGTACCGTCCAGCACAAGGTTCAGAAGAGGGTCAAATCCTTTCAAGACACCGCTTGCTATTGAAGACCACACAGAAAACAATAATTAGAGACCAAAACAAGGCATACAGCAACGTAAGACTGCAAGAAAGATACATTCTGTTCTCCAGCCCTGCTCCCTCCTTCAAGCAAGACCAAGCAAATGAGACCAGAGATWCTAAACAGTGTCCTCTTTATCAATGGCAAGCGAACAAAACCTGGTCTGTATTGTGCCTATTCAAACTGACAGGCTTTAAGACTGATTCTTCAAAATGTTCTTCAAGACACTAATAATTTTGCTTTCAGCTAATTTCACAGTCATTTTAAGAATACTTCTGCATAAAAATCAGTACAAGTCACACAAAGAAAGAAAAAGCAACCTCAAAACCAAAAAAACCATCCTTAATGAAAGGCTATGGTTAAAATGAAGCAAGATCATAGTTTAAGTTTTTTCCTCAGAAACACCATCTTCCAGGTGCCCTCCTGGCACATCAGCTCTCACGGGAAGGCACTGCAAATAGACAGCACTTTGTCCCAATGCAGAACATGATTYCACAAGACTAGCCACTAAATAATACAGAGTTACTTCCCAGTTTGAAAAATACACTTATCAATAAGGAGTCCAAGTAACTTCCAAACTCTTACAAGCATTAGGTCYCAGCAGAATTTTAAAACGCAGCACATGGTTAACTCAGACAAACAAGTACCTTCAGGTGGCACCAAACRCATTGGAATGTACCTTCCCAGCTACGGAAAGCACAGAGATGGAAAGGCATGGTGACATATATTGAATCATGAACTCCGGGCATGCTTACCATGTCAAGAGATGAAAGGCACGACAGTTGTATTAATTATTACAACCATAAATGCTTATTTGCTGCTTTAAGKGCACCCTTGCAATGTAAAAGAAAAACCCAGCCAAAACAAGGCTGTTCCAGACAACTGATAAAAGAAGAGATGCATAGGAGAACCACAAAAAGTGCACCCAGATTAATAGAAACGTTAAAGGATAAAAGCTTCACACCAGTAACTGCAGCCATTAATAAGCAAAAGCACCCGCTACTCCTCGCCTTCCCTTGAAGGGAAGCAGCGTGAGCAGGAGGGCAGAGCCGAAAGGCACCGGATGAGGGAAAACAGCGAAAGGCACGAGAGCTTCGTGCTGCGCCGGGCTCACCTTCCCGCCCGCCCTGGAACTTCACCCGGATGGTCTTGTCGATGTACTTGGAGAGGTCCAAGATGCTCTCCTTCTTCTTCTTCTCTTTATCCTACGGCAGAGCACAGGCGGCCGGTTAAAGCAGAGCACAGGCGGCCCGGTTAAAGCGGAGCACAGGCGGCCCGGTTAAAGCGGAGCACAGGCGGCCCGGTTAAAGCGGAGCACAGGCGGCCCGGTTAAAGCGGAGCACAGGCGGCCCGGTTAAAGCGGAGCACAGGCGGCCCGGTTAAAGCGGAGCACAGGCGGCCCGGTTAAAGCAGAGCACAGGCGGCCCGGTCTCCGCGGAGACACAGCCCCGGATCGCTCCTGCGGGGGAGCGCGGCGGCGGACGGGGACGGGGAAGCGGGTTCAGCACCGGCACTGCACCGGGACCGGCACCGGCACCGGCACCATCCCGGCACCGCACCGTGCACCGCACCGCACCGGGACCGGGACCGCACCGGGACCGGCACCGCACCGCACCGGGACCGGCACCGCACCGCACCGGGACCGGGACCGCACCGGGACCGGGACCATCCCGGCACCGCACCGCCACCGCACCGCACCGGGACAGGAACCATCCCGGCACCATCCCGGCACCGCACAGGCACCGCACAGGCACCGCACCGGCACCATCCCGGTACCGCACCGGCACCATCCCGGCACCGCACCGCACCGGGACCGGCACCGCACCGGGACCGGCACCGCACCGGGACCGGCACCACACCGGGACCGGCACCACACCGGGACCGACACCGGCATCACCCCGGCACCGGCACCCAGACCACCCCGCTCCTCACCGCCATCTTCCCCGCGCCGCCGCCGCCGCCACCGCCGCTCGCCATTTCATTCGGCGCCGCCAGAAGTGACGTCGCTCCCCGGCGGAGCCCGTTGGCGGCTCGGGGCGGGACGTCCGGGGCGGGCTTTGGGTCCCGGTGCTGAAGGGTCCGGCCCGGCCCAGGTCGGAACAAAGCGGCGGCGGCGCGGTGGGCCCGGGATGGCGGCGTGGCCGGCCCGGTTCCGCCTCTGGCTGCTCCTGCATCTGCTGCCGCAGGTCAGTGGCTGTGCCGGGCTGGGCCGTGCGTGGATCCCGGCTGAGGGCGGGGAGCGGCCGCGGTCGCAGCCGGGCCCGGGTGTGCTGTGCGGGTGTCCGGGCACGGAGCCGCGTCCGCGGAGCTGCTGCAGCCGCCGGGCCGAGCCGTGGCTGCAGGAAGGCATCGGGCTGCCGGCCCTGCTCTCCGCGGTTTGGCGGTGTTAATATATCCGTGCGTTTGGGGTTGTTGGGACTTTTTTTATGCTTTCCGTGGCAAGCAGCATTTTCCTGGTAGTTCTTAAAACATCGAGTCCCCCTGGGCCTGGCCCAGCACAGCCCTCGGGCCGGATCCCCACAGGGACGAGCCGGGGCTCATCCCGCCTGTCAGATCCTTCTGAGGAAGCATTCAGCAAAAAAGAAGGGGTTTTTACTGACCCTGACCCTGTAGTTTGGCTTCAGTCTTGTATTGTTATTACTTAAATATTAATTAGTTTTGTGGGATACGTTTTTAAGGGTGTGACGRACTAGTCAGGTAATCCTGATACAGGGGAGAGTGGATTTTTAGCAATTGCATTGCACGGTACGTAGCTTTTTCATTTTAAGTTCTGGTGTTCTGAAAATTCGGAAATGCCATTTAATGTGTCATTTAAACTTCTTGACTGTTTATTAGGTAATTTGGAGGGTACTCTGTCTTCTTGAATATTGTGTAACTTCTTAACATGGCACTCTGATTTTTCCTTCACCATCTGTCTCCTTACTGATTCCATGCCAATAATCTTTAGTTACAAAGTGGTCTGGTTGCCAGCTAACTTCTTGATTTCTGCATCATCCCCTTTTTTTCATCCATCATCTTTTTCTGCATTATCTCTTTGTTATGCCCTTGCAYTCCCCATGAATTTTGTCATCTCCACTGATGCTTCACAGGAACTGGTAGTGCCAGTGTAGGCCCCACAAATTAATAAGTTCCAAGAACGAGTTAGAGACTGGCATGGAGTTAGTTTTATCTATAATTTTGGAGAAGGTGAGTACAGGGCAGTGCAGAAGGACTGCAGGTGAGACAGTCCACTTGGTGGGTACTTGGAGGTCTTGTCTTTAGCTCCGTGCATTGCAGCCCATTCCTGTCTCTAAGCATTTGGTATATTTGTGCAGTGGAAGTGTTAATGTGTTTGAGCAAGGTTGGGTAGACTGGCCAGGATGCTGAAAAAGTCCTGCTGCTGCAGCAAAAAATAGAGCTACTGTGTGCTGCCAATATRTTTCTGTTAGCCAAAACCCCAGAAACTTAGCCAGATTGCCAGATTTTTGAAAATCTGCTTGAATACCTTGTGTTATGCAYTATTTCTTTATCTCTTGTGCTTGCATTTGTTGGGATGGGTTTGGGTAGTACATTTTCTTTAGCTTGAGGCAGAGAGGAGTGCTCTGCTGCACTTGTCCTGCGGTGCTGTGACTGATGGCTGGAGATTGTGCAGGGGACAGAGCTGACAGCTCTTGTCAGGAGCTGCTGTGTGCATTTGCTGTGCACCAGCTGTACTCATTTTCAATGCCTTACTCTTGCCTTAGTGTTTGTGAGCATGTACCTTTCTCTCCCTCCTTGAAACAGGATAATAGAAATTTTTATTATTTATTTTTATTTTTTTGTTTGTTTGTTTTTCCCTGAGACRAAAGGAGGTAGTATCCACATTTTCTTCTATATTCTGATTTAGGGACTAGCTTGGCTACTAAAACATGGCTCTTCCAAATCTGGGTTTTCATCTGGGAACACTTAAAGAGGGGTGTGATCTTCTAGATCCAAGTACAATCTGCACTTAGATSTTGCTTTGGTATTGGAGTTCTCACATTTCATTTAACTTCCCATGCTTTCCTGGCATTGTTACCTCTCAGTTGTTCTGTAACAGCAGAACATGAGCCTTTGACTAGTGACGAACGTAAGAACATGATCTGCAGTGTGTTGGATCTAGCTGGCCTGCACTATAGCAGCAACGGAATATGTTGAATGGGGGTGATGGTTTTGTATTTTAAATCAGGGCACTCAATCATATGGGTCCAAAGAGTTGAAAATACTGTCTGAAATTCTGGATTAAGGTGGTGGTTGGCMGTTTAGTCTCCTGGAATTATTACATTATGAACATGTAGCTCTCTGCCCTGTACACTGTTGAAGGAGTGGTTTATTATTTGTGTGCAGCTTTGTTGTTTGCTGTTGCTGCTCTCCAGATGGATTGGTGCAGTTCATGGGAAAGAATGATTCCAGCTCCTGGAAACTCTCAGATACCTACTGTAAGAATAGGAAAGCTCATTCATTCCTTCTTCAAGGAGCATAGTTCCCAGTATCTGTGAAATCTCTCTGAAATTCGGGTGACCAAGTCAGTCAATAGAGCTACTATTGACCACTAGAGAAAGTGGAGAAGGTGTATGAGGCATCCAGGTGAGTGTGTGGCCAGAGGCAGGGAGGAAGAAACAAGACAGAYATTTAGGTTGGCTCAGTCACTCAAYGCTGAAGTTTYTTGAAATATGGATGAGCTGAGTTTGTCCTCTCCACCTTCTTCAATCGTTTAACTTGCAAGTCCCAGTGTTTGAGCTACATTAATTCAACCAAAAAACTTGCATAGCAAAAAAACTGGGGAGTATTCTGCTCTTTTATGCATCAGTCTGTGGAGGGCCCTAATGGATTCAGAGCCAGCAAGTRTGCCCTTCTAATGCCATAAACATCAGATTCACTCATTTGCCTGTTAAACTCTGCCCAGAGACTTTATGTTTCTGTTGTGTGAAAACCTTTTCCAGTTTTGCAGCTTTATAAAAAACACTTCCTTGTATGTTAATTATACACTATTAGAGTCCTATCTAAACCGTAGGAGGTGACCTCTTCTCCTGGGTTAATCTAGGGTATGAAGTGTTCTCTAGGAGTTAGAAATCATCATAAGTGTTGCCACTGTGCCTGTGCATCAGCAGCATTGCTTTGAGCTTTTGTTGTCTCATACCTGACATGAATAAAAACAAAACTGGAAGCATCAAAGCTGATAAGAGCAAACTTGTTGTGGCTGTTAACAGACTTCAGTACTGTGCTTTGATTCTWAGTGATAAATGCTTTGTAAAAATGTCTGTTATATCACATTATCCACAGATTATATTCTCCACAGAGATTCTAAAACTCTCTGTTCCCTCTTCTGCTTTTAGCCTTGCTCATATTGCCTTTAATTCCTTTCATGCTTGATTYTTATTTGGCTTTTGGCACACAAATCCACATAGCTTCTAAAATGTTTTGAGCACTTCACATTAAGAACCTTTTACTCCCTTAATATTTCTTTGAAGAATATCCATTAAGTAGCTCAGAAAGCAAAACTGTGTATAACTGTCTCCAGGGTGCCTTTTAGGGGGATTATTCCTAATTTCCAGTAATGGTTATCTCCACAGAATTGTAGCAACACACCCTGTACTTRCTCTCGTTTTAAAAATGTGGACCATAAATCTATAGTTGTAGAAGTTTTAACTGTACAGCTTGATTGTTTCCCAAATGGATAAAGCTGTTCAATCACAGGAGTTAGCTGCTGCAAAACTRCCTGAAGATTTTGGAGAGAGTTGTACATGTAATATTCCAAACTGAGATACTCCATGTTTTGTTTGCTTATCTAAGGCAAGTCAGACCACATACAGTAAGCAGGGAATTTCGTTCTTGTCCTATGTATGTGACTGTATCTCTTGTATCTCTGTTGCTTGTTATTCTTGGAAGTCAAATTCAAGATAATAAGTACAGGTTACTTTTCTAAACTCATTCCTTATGTTGAGAGTAGTGGTGCTAGGGTTGGATACCTGAGATGTGAATAGGTAGTTGAGTTTTTGTTTCCTTGCAGCATACACACAATAGTGTTTACCTTTCTCCACAGATATCTTGGAATTGCACTGTGCTCAAGTGGCTTTAATCTGCAGTGAGCTAATCAGTGTGACCTCCCATATCAGCATGCTTCAGAACAAATGTCATTGATTCTAGAGGACTTAGTGAGCACTAATGTTATAAAAAAGAGAAAAAGTTGCTGYATGAGTTAACAAAGACCATTTATATGCAGAAGAGCTAAATATAAAAATGTCTACCTCCTACAGTGATGTTTCTTTACTGCTTTGCTGACATCTTGCAGCAGAATGCCATCATTCCCCCTGGCACACTTTGTGTGCTTAAGAGCAGTTTTACAATGCAGGTGGCAAACTATCTCAGGCTGTCCAGAGAGGTGATGTCTGCCCCATCCTTGAAAGTATTCAAGGCCAGGTTGAACAGGGTTTGATCTACTTGGAGATTTTCCAGCCCATTGCCAGGGGCTTGGATGAGGTGACCTTTAAAGGTCCCTTCCAAACCAAACCATTCTGTGATTCTTAAAAGTGTTCCAAGAACCATCTTTTTACCCTGAGTGTCTTCTAGGGGTGCATGGTAACTTCTGTGTAATAGGGTTTACAATAAAGAGGGAGAAATAAGAATGATGGATTCTTTTCATGGATTTTTGARCAATGGTGTTAAGATATGACATTGTTGCTGACTCCAGTAATTTTAGCATCTTGTTCCTCGGATGCTACATGAAGAAACAGATATGTAAGGTGTATTTGTAAGAGTGTAACTGCATAATTATCAAATTATTAGTGTGTTTAGCTTATGAATAAATGTTGACAAACTAAATGTTGACAAATTACTCTGTCACAACTTTCTAATTGGTAGCAGTGATGGTTAGGGATATGACATTGTACTTCACTCCAGAACAAGGTTTCATCAGTTCTGGTAGGCACAAAATKATTTCCTTGGGGAATGCTAAATGGGAGCAATAGAAGAATTAAACATGTCTTAAGCCAATGATTTTAGTTTTGTTTTGAGTGCTGGACAGGAGAAAGAGAGAAGGAAGAATGGAAAGGAGGGAGTTGGGTGTGTAGGTAGAGAAGAGTATGACACAAAGAGGGATGGTAGAAAGATAAGATTGTTGGCAGTGGGGCTTGTTTGTTTGGTTTGAGGGGTTTTTGGTTGATTGGTTGGTTTTGGTTTTTTYAGAACCTGCTGCTGGTTRTGAACTGATGGTGTGTCCTGTGCCCTGGGGTCACTAATGAATGACTGTGTTCCAGCAGAAACCAAATGTGTGACTAGTTCAGATGAGAACCAGTTCAATTATTGTACATGTTTCAGATATTTTACGTTTTTAAACAAACTTCCAAGTGCTAAGTGTTAGTGAGGATTAATGAGTGTCCTCAATTAAATGGAGAAGTTTCTCCTTACAATAGGAAATAAATGTTCTTGCAACACAAAAGTGGTAATRGGAAGAATCCAGTTACATTAGCAGTGTTTGGTATTCCTAAGCACTGGAGTTCCGAATCACTGGGCAGAAATAGTATTTTGAGACTGCTACATTTAATATGTGATCAGTTTTTTCCTGTCTATCTAGTAGTTTGTGTGAAGCTAAAAAACAGATAAGATTTGCATTTGCTCTCAGCATCATTTTTTTTTATAATCTGTTACCAGAGAGCACTACTTTCACATTGAAGTTGCTCTGTAAGAGCACTGTGAGGCTCCGAAGCAGCAACTGAAGATCAGCAAGACTCTCTTTCAAAAAAAGCATTGATCTGAATTTGTATAATTGAACTACATTTTAAAAGTTAGATTTTGTCCTGCTTTCTGAACATTTCTTTTGTATCTTCATGTGTTTTTATCTGAAGTATTAAAATATTTTTGCAGCAGCTGGTTAGATCTTAATCTTAAATTGAATTCTTAATGTGTTGATGTTCAAACCTGACCAGATAGTCACAGAATGCATATGAGCAGACTTTGCAGTGAGGAGCTGATGTTCATYACTTTGTATAAAGGAAAGAGTTCTTAACTTACATATTTTCAATGAGTGGAGATGGTGCCTGATAGTCCTSCTGAGACAGAACCTGCAATCCCAGTGTTGCTGCCCTGAGGAGCACACAAGTGTCCCATAGAACTTGATGGCTGATGGTGAAAGTGATGCTCTGTGTGCTTTCTTGTTCCAGCAGGGACAGAAACCTCTTGTTCAGAGAGAGAAGCATTGCAAGGAACATGTTTGCTGCTTAGAAATGGCCAGGAGGATTTGTTTCACATTTTTAGAACAGTAAGAACAGACCTCATTATAGACTTTTTTGTTTCTTCAACCATTGTCAAGGTCAGGGAGGATTTTCAGTTATTTTGGCTCAGTTAATATGAGAATGAAGTCACCACTAATTAGAGTTAAATAAAACCATCACTAGTGGTAGGGAAGTTGCACATACTTCATTCTTGCTTTGTTTGTCTTCCTGCTTTCTGGTTCCTTGGTAAGCATCTAATAGGACTTGATGTACATGCAGACAACTGCATCAACTTCACAAATGTACTTTATTTTGCAGGATATGTGTAGTGTTGTAGGTGATTTTGGCTCAGCTTTTTGGATGAAAGATGATGAACATACCTGGTACTCACAAAATTGTGTCACTATATGCAGGGAAGGGAAGGAGAGGAGTAGACATTTAAAAGAACAGTGCTCMTAATGAAGAATAAAAAGATTTGTAGAAAAGTCTGTGTTAAGGAAGTGTTCGCTAGTACCTGCTTGCAATGGCCAGTCACCCTRTGCCAGCCCCCAGCTCTTTCAGTTTTGCTGGGAAACGGCCTGGTACAATCTGACATAACCAAAATGATGAGGAAAGTACCCTGTTTGCTCTGTGTTATTTCACACGGATGGGAAGCTGAAAATATGTTAAAATCAGCACATCTTGCAGTTAGATGTAGTGTGAGCAGTTCACTGAACAAGGAGGTTACATACTGTGTATCACAACTGAGATGTCTAAACCTGATAGATTTGCTGCATATTACTATGTTTATTTTTGTCTGTAGTCCTTGTTCTCTCTATCTGCATTCCTGCAGGATCTGGATTCTGTTATCTCCGTTTTCAAGAATTCTTCAGAATTCTAACATGTACATGATGCAAAAGATAGAACATTACATTCATTTTTRTAAGGAGGTTAGTTACAAGTATGGAATATCTCTTTGTTTAATCATCTGTCTGCTTGTGACCCCTGCTAACCTCTTGGGTGAACAGAATGAGAAACAGAGAATACCTTGGCACTCTGCACACTGTTCAGCAATAGTTAAAACATTAGTTTGTTATCAGCATTGTTTTGGGCACAAATCTAAAACACTGCATCATACCAGYTGCCATGAAGAAAATTAACTTCATCCCAGCCAGACCCAGGACAGGCCTTTAATTATAAATCTTAGGTTTGTAATCTTCATTACTTACAGCAGATATTGTTGAAGTTTTGACAAACAGTGACAACTGGTCATTGAAGCAGTGATGWGTAAATGCAGTAGGTAGACTTGAGAGTCTGTATGTGCTACTTAAGACCAAAAAGAGGTGCTGCTGCTGCTGCAGGGTCTTGTCACATCCTCAGCAAAGGTGTCCAAAGTTGAGTTTTGGGGTGATCTAGAACTGATCGTTACTTCAGGCTGCACTTTCAGGAGTTGGTGTCATTCATAGAATCACAGAATGGTTTGACTGGGAAAGGGGCCGTAGAGATCATCTAGTTCCAGGCCCTGGGCTAGGCCAGGCTCTTCAAAGTCACATCCAGCCT